TTCTTTCGTGCGGGTGTGAGCTAACCCGCTTCCCTCCGGTCCAGTTCTTTTCCACCCTATGAACTATGGTCCCACCCGGCTCCTCTGTCCATGAGACTCTCTAGGCAAGAACACTGGAGTGGGTTGCCTTGCCCTCCTTCCAGGGAATCTTTGCCTAATCCTCTTTCATAGATAATCAGAAAAGAAAAAAAAGTCACAGACCCCTAGGGAGGCGACGAAACGAGGGTGAGGGAGCCATTCAGGCTTGTCCCTGGAGAGTCTCACTAAGGGCGGGAGCAGCCACTGGGAGGGCCCAGGAGGTGGGCACAGATACCCTGCCAGGCCTCTGCACTGCAGCTGATCAGGTACCATTCACACAAGCTCCCCCGGCTGCCCCCCCGCCCCCGCCACAGATAAGCAGCCCCAAGCAGCATATCACACTCAACTCTGCAGCAGCCCAGATGCCTGCCTGGAACAGCACCGCTTTCCTGGGGTAAGCTGGGAAGCGTGAGGGTCCAGCCTGGGGACGGGCCTGGGATGGACAGCCGGGGGGGCCCCTGTCCTCGGCTCTGACTCTCTGACTGCCCAGGTTGACTGACCCCCGGGAGCATCCCAGCACAGAGACCAGCCCTGCCTCGCAGTGTTCAGTGACTGGGCTCTGGGGTCACCCAGCCAGTTGGAGCCACACCCGGGTGGAGCTTGGTTGCCCCCCAACTCTGCTGTGTGGCCCCCTGGCCGTGGAGGCCACCAACTCCTGCACAGAACCAGCCAGGGCCAGGGGGCCCCCCACTCACCCACCGCCTTCCACGTTGGCGGTGACGCCACCAGGTCCGGCGGGAGGTTGACTTCACAGCCTCCTCTAAAGTCCTCTAATCAGGGGTTCTTAGCTCTTTTTCAGATAGAAAGTACCAGATATTCCAAAACCACCGCCTTCCAGGTGCTGAGACCTTCATTACATCATCGTCATGGAAAGGGTTATCTCACTTGTATCTTCCTCTCACATTTTCTCTATCAACTAATTGAAGCCGGTCACCTACTGTTCTTTTACCCTCTCTTCAGGAAGACAGACCATGCTTTGATTTTTATTATTTTAGTAAAATCCTTGTGTTCTATTCTAGAACTTTCCACTTGAATTCCACTTTTTCTCTTCCCCCTTTTTCTGGTTCTAGGTATACCCATGGGCAGTGGGGAAGCCAGGGGCCCTCTGACCCCCTTGTACCTGCATCTTCCTCTGGGATGCTGTGACAACTCTCTCACATTATCTACAGTCAGACAAGCCACACAGACAGGAGTGCTTTAAAAGCGTACCAGAGAGTTGGAGATTTGCTTGCTTTTCCGTCAACAGAGGAGGAACCTTGAGATATTTCCCTTCTTTGGAGGGACTCAGGCTTTGAACACTGTCCATTTGCCATAACTTATCGATAAGCTGATTGGAAGAAGAGAAAACCTGAAGAACAGATTCCTTCTCTTTCTCTTCTTTCCTTGGAGGGAGGGAAAGATGTGGCAGTGTGCAAGAGCACCCAGAGAATTTTCCAGAGCCTGGAGCCCTGGGAGGCGCCTGGAAATCCGAGCTGGTGGGAAGGCGGTCTGGAGCCCAGCACTTCCCGGGGCCAGACAGTGCCTGTGTGCCCGGCTGTCCTAGCTGGCTCCTGATACCTGGAGAATCTAAGACCCTGGCTGGGGTCAGGAGGTCAGCCCAGCCCACAGCATGTTTGATCTCAGGAAAGTCTTTGTTCTCTGGAATTCTTCCCCCACCCCAGAACCGCGCAGGACTGCCCTCTTAGATCTGTAAGGCTGCTATCTCATCTCTGGAGGTAAGAAGCAATGGCGATCTGTGGGGGCTCACATGTCCAGGGAACCCGTCTTCAAAGTCAGGGCTGGTGGTCACTGAGGACGGGCCATCTGCCAGGCACCCACACCCTGGCCCCGCCCGCAGGCTGGGCAGCTGCAGGAAGGCACGGGGACAGAGTGCTGCCCACCCAGGGCGTGCGTGCCACCACGGGGCCCCGAGCGCAGGCTGCCAGGGGACCGGAGACCTTCCTCCGCTGGACACCGGGTGGAGTGGCCTCTCCCCTCCTCTGGGCGCCTGCTTTTCAGTCAGCCAGGGGGCTTTACTCGGCTCATCTCTGTCCAGAGCAAGGAAACCATGGCCAGGAGACCCAACTGCTGAAGCCCAGCAGTTGACTTACAGTCTGATCCCGGGAAATCGAGCTGTGGGGAGACACCTGGGTTCAAATCCATTGCTTACAGAGACACCATGGGCAAGGCGTGCTTAAAGTCTTTGTGCCTCTGTTTTCTAATCTGCAAAATGGGGATAATAAGAGTTACCTACTCAGGTAGGCGTGCTTTTCTATGAGGCTCAGATGGATTAAGGCACACAGATCTGCTCATAGCAAGTATTCTTTAAATAATTATTCACCCCCTCTGCTAGCCATTTTCAGCTGCTTCTGCTACGAAACTCGTCGTTACGATCAGCAGCCCATTTTACTAAATCGACCTTCCCCTGGGAAGACTCTGGCACAAATGGGCAAAGAAACAGGATTCTTGAGTGTGGCAGACAGGAGCTGGGCAGGAACTGTGCTTGCCACAAGGAAGAAAAGATTTTTAAGAAAACCAGTTAAGGATTAAGGCACTGTTGCATGAGTAACAGTAATTAAAGCCAGTGGTCAATAAGAAGATAGTTAAGTGGAAGGTCTATTGTTGAACATTACAAACTCCATGCCTGTTGAATATGTATCGATATGTCTCTAGTAAAATGACCCAGAAGTATCTGTTTTAGAGTCTAAAGCAAAGAGAAATGAAATAAACCCACAAGTGACTCCAATGCCTTCCAACCCAATAGTCTAACTCAGTGGCCCTAAACTTTGGCATTCCCCAAGTGGGAATGCAGACACCCAGGCTCCACCCCAGAAAGCCTGATCAGGAGATCTGAGATGAGGACCAGAGTTCTGAATTTTTAACCAGGCTTTCCAGATGCATGTAAAGGTCCAAGGATTGTCCTTTGAGAAGCACTGCTAGGCAATAAATGCTCTGGGTCCCATCGAAGGGCCAGGCAGCAGGGACTCAGATGGGTTTGCAGCATCTCAAAGGCTTTAGGGGAAGGCACAGAGGTGTGCTGCATCCCACAAGTTGGGGGTAGCCTCTGCCTGCTCAGAGTGAGGGAACCTGGGCTCAGGATTGATGAGATCAGGGCAGAGCTGCCTTTGGCTCTCAGGTCTTCTGACATGGGCGCTTCCCGCGTGCTGCTAGCGCTAAAGAACCTGCCTGCCATGCGGGTTTGATCTCTGGGAAGATCCCCTGGAGAAGGGAATGGCAACCCATTCCAGGATTCTTGCCTGGAGAAGCTCACAGACAGACGAATCTGGTGGGCTGCAGTCCATGGGGTTGCAGAGAGTCAGACACGACTTGAGTGCGCGTGCGTGTGCACACGCACGCACGCACACACACACACACACACACTTCTGACACAGAGCCCTTTCCGCCAATTTTAGGCTCAGTCCCACGTAAGATTCTCATCATCCTCTGGAAGGAACAGTCATGTTTACGAAAGTGGTTAAAGGGGACAAGGGGGTGTGGGAGGGAGAGCAGGACAGTGCACACACCGCACGGGACGGCGTGTCTTCCTTTGCAGGAGCCGCCTGCTCCTCCTCTGAGTGTGAGTGTGTGAGTGTGTGTGTGTGTACTGCCCCTGCTCCCAGCTCTGAGCCAAGTCTTGCGCGTCATGTGTGCATAAGAATCCATAAGGGTCAATGGGCTGGTTCAAATATCTAGTCTCTGATCTTAAATCTGGGACGTGTGGAAAGGAATGAGACACATCCCGAGCTGGAAGAAAACTGGTCTGGAACCCTCTGGTCAAAGTCTACAGAGTTCTCTTCTGACTCCCAATCTGGGCCCTGACCTGGAGGAGAAGACGGCAGAAAGGTGAGGCTCCAGGTTCCTTCCCAGGCTGGACAGCGCTTCCTCACTCACAGCCTGCAAAATCCTTGTTTGTGTTACATGAGGACGGAAAAATGTGGAATAACAGAATTCAAACCAAGCCATGAACACAGCTCTCCACTACCCAGAGTGGGGATGGGGGGAGGGGGCGGCTCAGGGGAGCCCCCTGGGACACCAGGTGCCCCGATATTCCAGCAGACAGAGGAGGAGAGCGGAGTCCAGGACCCCGGCAAGTCTCCTCGATTTTCAGTCCCACTTAAAACATTTGGGCCTTCAGCTGAAAGCAACCAGCAGGCCTGTGACAGCCCAGGCACACCACATGGAGCTCTTGTGAAGTAGCTCCTATGACAACGCACAACAGCCCACCATGCAATCCTGGCGCAGGGATGGATACTCACAGAGTCACTTTGAATGGCAGGGCTTGGGAGAGGCACTCGGGAAACAGGGTCCCTGGTGGGAGCCTTAACACCCCCACCTTGGCTCACCCCTGGCCAGAGCACATCTTGCAAGAAAACGGAACTCTCTACCATTGTTCCCTCTCCCAGTTTCCAGGAGTACAAAGTCCCAAGTCCTGGTCCCGACCCCCCCCCCCAAGAACCCCTCATTCAAAAGGACAAGAAAACTCTGCCAAGGGCAGGACCCCACACCAGCTTCTGATGCCACACAGGCCATTCTCCTCCCAAGCCTGGCGCCTGGGAACCACGTGTCTGACGGCCTAGACTGTAAGGCCCAGCTTTGCTTGTAACCAAGGGCTTTGCTCAAACGAGGGAAAGGATGCCGCGGGTCATGTTTTTAACTACTGGTTCCCAAGGATGAGCCGACGCCTGTAACGCACAGGATTGAAGGGGAACCCAAGGAAAGGCAAACCAGAGTCCTCGCGGGGGAAGGCGAACTTTCTCAAAGCCTGGGCTGGGTACCGGCTGCCCCGGACACACAAGCACACACACACACACACACACACACACACACAGACCCGCGCTCAGGTGAGCACCAGCTGCTTTCTGGCAACGCTACTCGCTGACCCAACCAAGAGCCAAGATTCTCTCCGGCTCGCCAACCAGCCCAGAACGAGAGTCAGGACTTACCGCCAGGACGCTCTGGGCCAGCAGCCCCACGGTCACGGCCCACAGCAGCAGCCACCTGATGGGAGAGGAAGAGCGCCGTGAGTGCGTGGCCCCGGCAGTTCCTAAAAGGACGCGCGCGCGGGACCCAGGGGCCGGGCAGAAAGTCGCTTACCGCCGTAGGGCAGGGCGCGCCGCGGCGCGCAGCTCTCTGTCCATGCTCCCAGTCCGGCCCCTCTGGGCTCCAATCGGTCCCTATTAGCCTGTAAGGCGAGACAAAGAGGGCTTAGCTTGGCCGGGGAGAGGGCAAACTCGCCGCCCGCCTTGGATAGCGAGACGGGGGAAAGCGGGGAGTGGACCGAGAGCCGCCCCGCGACCCCGCCGGGGAGAGGGGAGCCTGCCCCCCCAGGCCCGGGTTGGGGTCGCTCCGCAGCGGCCGCCCCATCGCCTCTTCCCTGCCTGACCCGAGAGCCGAGCGTGCAGCCCCGGCGGCACGGGGAGCCCGCCGTCCCTGCCCTCTGGCGGGTCCCGGAGTCTCGGGGCCACTCTCACCTCGGGCCTGGCTTCAGCGGCGGCGGTCCGCGCGCATCCGCCCTCCGGCAGCGCCGCGGGCGGCAGGAGCGGCGCGATCGCCCTCCGGGGCCGGCTTCGGGCCCGCGCGTCTGCCCTCGGAGCTGGGCCCGGTAGGCGAGCGCGGGGCGCGCGGCGGGCGGCGGCGGCGGCGGGTGCAGAGCGCGGAGCCCTGCGTCCCGGCGCGCGGCGGCCACAGTCGCCCGGCCGCGCGCTCGGCGGCCTCTTACCCGCGCCGCAGGGTCCTCCCCCTTTGAGGCGTTGCCCGCCCCCGCCGCCGAGGGGAGGGGCAGCGCCAACAAATTGGGGAGCTCGCCTGGCCGAGCTCAGGTCTCCGCCGCGAGCCGCCGCGCCCGGGACGGTGCGCCGCGCTCGAGCCCCAGCCCTGCCAGAGTGAGCCGCCCGCCGCCGCCCGCGAGAGCCCGGCCGCCGGCTCTGCCGTCCCTCGCCGCCCCCCGCCGGTCCCCGCCGCGCCGGGCGCGCCGCCATGGGGCCCCGGCTCGGCGTCTGGCTGCTGCTGCTCGCCGCGCTCCTGCTCCACGAGGAGAGCAGCCGGGCCGCCGCGAAGGTGAGTCCCGGCCGGCTGAGCTGCCGGCGTCGCGCCCCGCGCCCCGGCGCCCCGCGCGGCCCCTTTGTCCCTGGCCGGAGCCGCCCTCCAGGCCCGGGGGTCGCGCGCGCGCGCCGCCGCCAGGCGCACTCTCCCGACCGGTCCCCGCTGGGGACCCCCGTGGGCTGCGATGGCGCACGCCTTGGGGAGCCGCCTTTGTTGTGGGCTGGGTAGGGACGAGGCAGGGGACTCCTCGGGCGGGGGGCGAGAGCGCAGAGCTTGGAGCGTCCCGCGCTGTGTGAGGCTATCCGGGAGTCCGCGGGACTTGAACCCGTACGTCGCGGTCGCCTGACCGCCGGGCTCCCTCACCTGCGCCGGGTGCCCGCGGGGGCCGGGGCGGGAGGGGCGGACACGCTCGCCCCGTGCTGTTCGGAGCCCCGCACATGTGCCCGGGCGTCGCTCTGGGCGTGTTTCTCTGGAGCTTTGGAGACTCTGGTGGTTGATGGTGAACAGTCCTGGGCCCTTTGCCTGGAAACAGCTGTCTTCTCGCTTTCCCACGACTTTGCTGTCGCCGAAGCACGCTAAGGAGCAGCGGCGAGCCTTTCTGTTCTCCAGCTTCCAAACACTTCCAAACTCCACTCTCTTTTATTAATATAGCAAAAAAAAAAAATTATAACCACGTTGTATCTGAGTGTGAAACCAAAACGAAACTCCATCTATTGTTCTGTGCAGAGATTGTTTTGCTAGTTTTCCTTTCCTCGGGCTGTGTGTTTGCCCAGGAAGGATCTGGGACTGAGGCTTGCAAGAGTGGAGGCGTCCAACTTTGGACGATCCCTGATGTGCTGCTGTTCTTTACTTATTTTCCTTCCCCCGGAGACCTCAGCTGTTCCCCAGAGCCACAGACTTGCAGACAGAACCCCAGGAAGGTGTGGCTTCTAAACGCATTTTGCATCCCCCCCCCAACCCCCAACTGTTTAAAAATGATGTTACTGTTTTTGGCATTTCCCACTTACTCTTTAACTGTTTCACATAATTTTGCTCTGTTTTTTTTTTTTTTTTCCTTCTCTAAAGGAAGAATGAAGCTCACTGACTTGATTATATATAACTGATGGACTGTTCCTTGCCCGAATGAACTGACAATATGCATACACACCTTGGCACCGAGTCTGGCTCTTGGCTGGTCCTTGTCATTGGGTAGGGAATGACACCAGCAGTTAGCTTCAGATTTTTTTTCTCGCAGCCCAGAGGCCAGCCAGCACCCTAGCCAGTTGTTGAAATGCTCTCTGGTCACGATGACAAAATACTTCCAACAGAGGCAGCTCTTGAACTCTTTATTTGGGTCTAGAGCTTCTGACGCAAAGATTTCACACTTCCTAGGAGAGGTGGCAGGGACATGAGAGCAAGTCTCTGTTTGGAATATGAAGCTGCATTTGCACTTGAGTTTTCCTACTGATGATGTTAGCAAAGCCAAGCCCACTGTAAGAGCCGGCTTTTTAATTAGCCTCCAGTGTGAAGCAGGAGCCACTCGGTGAGGGAGAAACCAGACTCATTTCTGTTGAGTTTGGGACTGTTTTACTTTCCTTGAGTTTTTCTTAAAGCCCAAGTGCACATCCGTGTCCTCGTTTTGCTTTATCCCTCACATCTCACGTTATGTTTTAAGACATCGGCAGGTGGACACTCTCTAAACACTGGTTAACTTCATGGGTCTTGTCATTTTGCCATATTTTTTTCCCCTGGTTTAAGCAGGAGAGAGAAAATGTATTAATATGCAAATGGATTATCTCTGTGTGAGAAAATCCATTTAAAAATAATATCTGGCTAATTTTAAAATTGGTCTCACTTTTCATGCCATCAGTAACTTTTTTTTAAAAGCTTACCTCCTTCCAAAATCAGCTGTTAGGGGTACAAAGTAGTTGAATAATTTCTGTATTGCTCCAAGCAAAATATCATTTAAAAATGCATTTAGAATGATAAGATGCTGCCCATAGATCAGATCCTAATTCAGAAGCCAATATGATTTTTTCTTGGATTGTCTGCTTTTCTGGAGTATCTGGACCTGTGTTGCCTGCGCTGGTACACACAAACACCACCTAGTGTGCGTCAGGCACAGTCTGCCCTTGCTGTTATTAGTACGCACAAGAAAGGTGTTTGGTTTTCTGTTGGATCCTATGTGCTATGGCCATACTGTTCGTTTACTAGTGGGCAGGTTTCCTAAGTCAGGGATTTTTTTTTTTCTCATCAGCACACTCCTCCCTAACTTTTCTTTCTTAGGCAAGATTGGAGGAACAAGATGCAGACCCAAGAGAAAAATCTGCCCCTAAAGTTATGATTGAGGGTCCTCTGTTCTGAGTCACGCAGTCAGGAGCTGAATAAATCCTTCCTTCTGCAGCCTCCAAACGCCCCCTCTCCGACTGGTCTGTGTGATGCTTCTTGACAGATTACTTCTCAGGACCAGACATGTGAACTTCCCCCAAAGCGTGGTGATGCCCGCCTAGGGTGCTGGCATCTCTAGACCATTAGTCACTCTTCTGGGACTGAATGACCTAGAACTCGGGTGAAGGGAGGTTGAACTCCCATGTGAGTGTGGACCACGTTCTGCTGGGAATGTCAGTTAAATGAGAAGGCTGATTTCTGGCTTAGTCCCTGAAACAGCACCATGAACCCAGTCCCTGGAGGGGGCTTGGTGAGGACAGAGTCTAAACCATCACGCTCTTCACATCTGGACTGCCTCTCGTAGCAACCAGGAGAAAAGTGTGCAACCTTTGTGTGTGAGTGCACACTCACAGAATTATGTGTGTGTTAATGCTTCCCTAGTGCCTCAGACCGTAAAAAATCCGCCTGCGGGAGACCAGGGTTCAATCCCTGGCTTGGGAAGATGCCCTGGAGAAGGGAAAGGCTACCCACTCCAGTATTCTTGTCTGAGAAATCCCATGAACAGAGGAGCCTGGCGGGCTACAGTCCATGGGGTTTCTGAGAGTCAGACACGACTGATCAAGTAGAACACACGTGTGTGTTAATGGTGTAGGCACACACACACACACACACACACACACACACACACACACACACATGACTTAAGGACCAGAGGGTCCCAAATGTTGTGTCTGCTTTGATTAAGCAGATGGTTTCTGAGGACTCAGTCACCCCCTGCCTCAGTTTCCCTGGCAGATCTGCCCTCCGGCCCAGGATCCTGCCTTCATCCCACACGTGTGCCCCAGTGCTTCAGGCCACACCCTCTGCTGGGCGTTGGCTGTGCTCCAGAGAGGAGAACCAGCCCTCCCCCGCCAGGAGGGCTGCGATCTCCTGAGGAATACAGAGAAAGAAACAGGCCAGGACAACCCAGGCTGGTAGATGCTACAGCCAGGGCAAACCCATGGCCATAGGAGCACCTGACCAGCTTTGGGAAATTCAGGGGAAATTCTGGGAGGACATCCCACCTCTGAATCTGAGGGAGCAATGGGAGCATAGACCTGGCTTCTTATTTCCCTCTGAATTACCATGTGCATCATACTCAGAAGGTTGGACAGTCCTTCCCCAGCCCTTTCACCTATCAGGCTGTTTTTGCATTGAAAGATGACCTTGAGGTTTCCTTCTCTGAGCCACCAGGATACCACTGCTTCTGTGACTAGCAGTCGTGATGTCCAAACGTTCTCCTGGGAGGGGTGGAGACACAGCGATGGCCCGGGTCTTGGAGAGCTGTGATAAGACCCCCGCTCAAACCAAACCGGGGCCCTCTCCGGAGGTCGCAGGTGGGTTGGGATGTTTGCAGAGTTGCAGCACGGATGACCGGTCGCGGGCATGAGTGCTTTAGGAGCTGAGCTGGAAAACCTCCCCTCAGTGGGGCAAGGCCATGAGGGGATTCTCAAACCCCGCGTTATTCATTAACAAGACTGTCTGCAGATTTCTTGGAACTGGTAAGGATGGTCGTCCCTGAACGAGTTTGGTTATGTAGTTAAGAACTGGTAGAGCTTTTGCAGAAAAATTGAACCCACAAGTGATGCACCAAAACGAATCCTTTTAGAATTGGAGGGGGTGTCTATCAGTGAGTAATTTACAACCCTTGTTTTGGTGAGGCGCCAATGTTTGCTCTAAAGATGGTTTCCTCAACTGGAGGAGGATTGGCCTCATGGAAACGTCTCCCAGGCAGATTGGGTATTCTGAGTGCTGGGGCTCCAGTAAGCAAAAGCAACAATAGAATGCCTAAAATAATATCATCAGAGCATTGTTCTTCCTGCTATTATTAAACAACCACTAAAAAAGTGTGAGCTGTAGAACAATGCAGAAGACGTATCCCACCCACTCTTGTGCACACAATGAAAGGGGGATGTAAAACAGAAAATGCTTCCCTTGCCACCGCCCTGAGTGGCTTTGGAGGAGCCTTTATGGTCTGGGCCTCGGGACCGCTTCCATCCGGTGTTTCCCGCCATTGTCCTCCTGGTCTTGCTTCCCTGACGTCCATCTGCCTGGGTCCTTCTGTTTCTCTGCCTCTCTGCTCTTCCTCCTCCAGACCCCTCGGGCTGGTGGGCCGCAGGGGTGGGCTGCAGCCGGCTCTGGCTCCCTCCACCCTGCTCACTCCCGCGGCCGCTCGGCATTCCGTGAGGGCGACTCCAGACCCTTCTCTGGAACCCCAGGCTGCTGTCCACACTCTCCTGGACATCTCCCCTCCGCTCTCCTGCGTTAACACTGCCTGTGCCACGCGCTCAGTCCTGTCTGACCCCCTGTGACCCCGTGGACTGTAGTCGGCCAGGCTCCTCTGTCCAGGGGATTCTCCAGGCCAGGGTACTGGAGTGGGTTGTCATTTCCTTCTCCAGGGCATCTTCCCAAAGCTTTGATCACAGACTCGGCCAACGTGACCAGAACTGAGCTGCCTTTACCCAGACGGACTGCCCTCCCCCAGTCGCCCGCGTTGGTCACTGACGCCCCGATGTTTTCTGACGCTCGGCTCAGGGACCGTGGCCTCGTTGGAGACCCTCCTCTCTGACCTTGTGTCCCCGGGCACTCATTCTCGCCCCCCCCCACCC